CCAAGTAGCTGGGACCACAGGCGCCCACCACAACGCCTGGCTATTTTTTGGTTGCAGCCGTCATTGTTGTTTGGCAGGCCTGGGCTAGATTTGAACCTGCCAACTTAGGTGTATGTGGCTGGCGCCTTAGCCACTTGAGCCACAGGCGCTGAGCCTACCCTTCTGTTTTTAGAGGCGAGGTCTCACTCTGGCTCAGGCTGGTCTCGAACTAGCCTGAGCTTAGGTAGTCCGCCCATCTTGGCCTCCAAGAATGCTAGGAATAGAGGCGTGAGCCACCTTGCCTGGCTGTTATAGCTCAGGAGTTTGAGGTTTTTTGAGCTATTATCCCACAACATTCTAGCCTGGGTCAACAGAGTAAAACTGTCTTAATAAAAAGAAAAAAAAGCAGCCTATTTTTCACTTGGAAATTTTTTCTTATAACAATTACTTTGTTGTAATTACCTTGGTAGAAATATACAATATATTTATAGAATCAATTCGGAATGACAACATGGGCTGGTGAAGTAACATTAAGTTATCAGTCATTTAAAATGTATATGTTTAGACTTTCAGACCTAAAGTCCTTTTTTGATCTTCTGCAAAGTTGAAATTTTATGTTGTATATTCCTGCATTTGTAAGGTCATATAAATAATTTGGAAACCATTTGGGAAGAAAAGTTCATTTTATTTATTTATTTATTTTTTGAGGCAGAGTTGTATTATGTCACCCTTGGTAGAGTGCTGTGGTGTCACAGCTCACAGCAACCTCAGACTCATGGGTTTAAGCGATTCGCTTGCCTCAGCCTCCTGGGTAGCTATGACCACAGGCGCCTGCCACAATGCCCAGTTATTTTTTGTTGCAGTGGTCATTGTTGTTTAACTGGCTCGGGTCAGGTTCAAATCCCCAAACCTCAGTGTATGTGGTAACCACTGTGCTATGGGCACTGAGACCTTTTTCTTTTTTTGAGACAGAGTCTCAAGCTATCACCCTAGATAGAGTGCCGTGGCGTCATAGTTCACAGCAACTTCTAACTCTTGGGCTTAAGTGATTCTCTTGTCTTAGCCTCCCAAGTAGCTCGGACTATAGGTGCCTGCCACAACACCTGGCAATTTTTGTTGTTGTTGCAGTTGTCGTTGTTTTAGCTGGCCTGGGCTGGGCTCGAACCTGCCAGCCTTGGTATATGTGGCCGGCACCCTACCCAGATCTATGGGTGCTGCCCAGATAAGTTCATTTTATATTTAATAGTTATAGTTCACTATTTTCTATATTGTCTTATGGAGTTACTCTCTTCAGATACTGAATTCATTGAGAACTTGGACTTCCTACAGCCTCATTTATAGCCTAAAGGTAACTTCAGTGAATGTGGGGTTTTCACATTTAAGTTTCATAGGTTAGAGCAATTATTCTTGATCAGATTATATTCTGCCTTGAGATCCAGGGCCAAAGAAAGCCACTAAAAAGAAAGCCACTAATACTTGATGCAAGGCTTTTATCCTTAGGTGGGTTGGGAGGAAAAATTGTTGACAACCACTCTCAACAGAGACAAAGTTTTTTTCTTTCATCCAAGTCAAATACACAGAGTACAAATGTACATTTACTGTAATCTAGTCTAGAGAAATTAACTCTTTCAAAATAGTTAACAGTGATTTCTCCCTGGGCTCATTGACAAATAGGCCTACCCAACTAAGAATTGTACTTCTTTGTAAAATCCCTTCGTTATAATATGCATCACTGACTTATTGGCATTATAC